TGATACAATATAGAATAGAATTTAAAATTTTTGTTCGATTTTGATGAAAGATAACATAAATAAAATTTATGATCTTGGTTCCTTACGATGTTGGCAAATATTGGACCATAACTTTACGAAAAATTAAGTTTTTAGCTTGTGGACTCTATATAGATTTAAAAAAAAGAGGTTCAAATATATCACCATCACACCATAATTATGATTCGTGAAAATTGAACGAATCATGTTGCTTAATCATGTGGCTGCTTAAATTTTGTAAGAGATAAATATTACCCTAATCTAGGGTTGATATGTGAGGCCATGGGTTGTGGACCCTCTAGAGGTCACAATTTTGATCCGATTTTGATGAAACTTGAAATCGATGTTTATAACCCAAAGATCCTGGATCATTTTAAAATTCGCGTATATCAGATCGTAACTTAAATTCCAGAAGTATGGCCCTTGATTGTGTGAAAAATCATGTTTTTAGCTTGTGACCCCTCTCAAGGTCACAATTTTTATCCGATTTTGAAAAAAAACATGTGAATATATCACCAATACACCCTGATGATGGTTGAGGTTGAATTTTTTGAAAATTGGATCAAAACTGCTGAACAAAATAACCGCCCCTTATACCCAAATAGTGTAAAAATATGGTATATCAAGGTGGTGGACCCTCTAGAGGTCACAATTTTTATCCGATTTTGATTAAACTTTAAATTTAGGCTTATATCACAAAGATCTTGGTTTCTTTCAATAATCGCGCATATCCGACTGTAACTTCCTGGATATGGCTCCTGATTGTTAAAAAATTGCATTTTTAGCTTGTGGACCCGCTAGAAGTCACAATTTGTATTCAATTTTAAAAACCATTCAATTATATCACCTTTACACATCATTGAAGGTTAAGTTCGAATTTCGTAACAATTTGACCGAAACTGCTGGACAAAATGGCTGCTCCTTGTATGCAAATAGTGTAAAAGTATGTAATACTAAGGTTGTGGACACTCTTAGAAGTCACAATTTTTATTCGATTTTGATGAAACTTGAAATGTATGTTTATAATCCAAAGATCGTTGTTCTTAATGATATTTGTGCATGGACTGTAACTTTCTGGATTATGGCCCCTGATTAAACGAAAAATCACGTTTTTAGCTTGTGGCCCCTCTAGAGGTCACAATTTTTATCCAATTTTAAAAAGCGTTTAAATTTATCACCGTTACACCCTAATGACATCTGGGTTCCAAAACTGCCTGACAAAATGGCGGCTTCTTGTACGCAGATAGTGTATAAGTATGTCATACCAAGGTTGTGGACCCCCTAGAAGTCACAATTGTTATCCAATTTTGATGAAACCCAAAATATATGTTTATGTCACAAAGATATTGGTTTGCGCATATCAGACCGTAACTACCTGGATTACGGCCCCTGATTGCACGAAAAATCATGCTTTTTAGTTTATGGATTTTCTAAAGGTCACAATTTTTTATCTGATTTTAGAAACCATTTAAATTTATCACTATACCACCATAATGAAGGTTAAATTCGAAATGAACTGCCCGACAAAATTGCCGCTCTTAGTGTGTACGCGAAGTGTGTAAAAGTATGTGACGATTTACATGTAGACTGTTGACTATTTCTCCATACACAGGAAAAAAGTAGTTCCGAAAGATTAACGCATTTAAATAATTTGAAGTCATAACAATGTTCAATAATTAACATACTTCTTAAATTTATCAATAAATTAACTCGTATTGATATTTAGGGAGCTCAAACAATATCGTACTAGTATTTTCACTTGATAACATGTAAAGATATTTGAACATATTTCAAATTTGCAGCGAGCGTAAAACTTGATTGTGTCAAGCAAAGTAAAGTCTATCAATTGTTAAATAAAATTTAAAAAAAGGAATAAAAACACACCTGACAACACATCTTTTGTGTGGGGATATCATATCTTTACCACAGGAATTTTTGTGACTATTTAGTTGAGATTTTACAACAGACTTCGGTTTTCGGAGCGGAATTGTCTTGAAGAAGGGACGTCGAATTCATTGACGACAATATCATCATCTCGCTTTCTTTTGTTATATATATACTCTTCAAAAAAAGTAGGAGATATTGAAATGCAAATTCCTATGCAGGTTGCGAAATGATAAATAGCCATGGACATTTGACATGCTTTGAGAATATGTTCACAGGTGAAGAACTTATCGCCCCAACAGAACAACTGAGCTGCACATGCGACACGCAATAGCGCAATACACGTGGGAGGGGTTGATTGTCAAATTTGACACTTCAAGGAAAGGTTGATGAAAACTGCCATGTGCTGGTTTATCTATCCATGTTTGCTTTCCTATCGGTTCTTGCATAAGATTTACTGTTTAACGTATCTTTGCTTTAGTGTGTTACGTTTAATTTGTTTTGGAGACGTGTTCGTCGACGTCAACGTCAACCGACAACACTGCAAGAATTGGCTGTGGCACTGCAAGAGAAGTGGGTCAGATTGCCCCAAATCGTGATTGGATGTTTGATTATGTGCATGCCACGACGAATTGCTGAATGTCTGAGGATTGGTGGAGCAATTACTCGTTATTAAGACAAAAATCAAAAATGTCCATTTTCACTTTTGATGGTGTATCTCTTTGCGAGTGAAATGGGGCCGTCAGATAAGCCGCCCATATGAACTGTTTATGTTCATGTGTAGGCAATTGGCATGTTATTAACATACACTGGTTACTTTTAATAAAAACAGCAGTGCATTTCCGCAGTTTTGTATTGTTTCTGAATATCCCCTAATTTTTTTTAAGAGTATATATATCATTTGCATGATTAGCTCCAGTTATCAAGTGAAGATATCAAAGTAAAGCTTTTACAGTAAATATGGCTGCACAAGTGTGCAAAATGACCTACGGGTTTGGTGCAGTTTCGGTCATTTTCAAAAGCCCTCCGTCCTGACCGGCCTATGTGGCCGACATGGAACCCATTGTAACAACAATATAGTTTATATCCCAAAGATCTTAATTCTTTTGACATTGGCACTTATCGTATCATAACATCCTAGATTATGACCCCTGATTAGTGATGGTCATGAGACTTAGAAGCCTAGTGATTTTCAATGATATCCGATAATTATGGCCAGAGTTATGGCCCTTGATCACTTTGAAATATCTTGTGACGCTCTAGAGGCTTATGTTATCATCCGATTGACTTCAGTTTGATACACAGATTTTAAGGTCTTGAGATGAACAAGTATATTGATTTTCAATGAATCTGCTAAATCCATGATATTAAATGTTTCATTAGCTAAACGTTAGCAAGGGGCAGAACTGAATAAGATCCAAGCAAATTCTAATGATTTTCTGATAATTACTTAATGAGTTGTTACTCTTTTAGTGTATTATAAATGTTTCATTACTGAAAAAAGTAAAAATATGTGACAACTCTTGTTGACAGCCCGGACGATTTAGCTGCTGTGGGCGGCAACCTATCTTTAATTTATTAATTACCTTTTCAAAAGTTGTTAGTCTATAACTGACAGACAACATAAACTGAAAGTCTTGATGGCGCCACAAGTCTTAAAACCAGACTGATCGACCAATTAAATGCACTATTTTCCTGGAATATCGATATTAGCTCAGTGGTCAACTCGAATGAGGAATTTTCATCGTTGGATAATATACCTAATGGGTAAAACATGGCAATGGCTTCCAGGAACATGCTACAAGCTTATACATAGCAGAATTGGATTCAGAAACCGTTTCAGTAATGTGTTTAGAAAGCGCCCTGCCACAAACGGCAGCCATGTTGGAAATATGCGGAATGAGTGAACATACTATCATTTCACGCAGCTGTTAATGGCAGAAATCGAATCTGTGTCCAGAAAACATATTGACACAAAACATTACTACAGTGTATAGTTTGAGAGCTTGATACTTTTGAAAAAAATAAATGTGCAATTAATTATATGTGTCATCTATTTATTTTTGGATTTTTGTGGGGGACATCAGCCTCACTGTTGGCTTGTTTGCTGTATGATTAATTAATAAAGTCGAGATTATTAGTTATTAACATTTATATTTTCATAAAATTTCATCATTTCTCACAAGATTATCAGAAAATGGAAAAATATCATAAAAAGTATAAAATTTCATTATTTCTCATAAAATTATCGTAAAATGAGACAAATTTTTTTTTTGAAATATAAAATTAGCCAGAAATCACTACTCCTAATAATAAATTTCTATACTAATAAATCTGGATGTGAATAAGAAAATTGTCCAGGCATTTATGTCCCCTAGCTTGCTGCAGATGCTGCTCTCTTTCGTTTTCTATTTGACAATGTTCAGTCAATGTTACATCGGTATATGAACATAGGAGAAGAATCAGAAGATGACTGTGCCCATTAATACCACCAGTGCTGTGCCCATTAATACCACCAGTGCTACTGGTGGGATGTTCTTATCCGCATAACATTGGCTGAACACTACTTCATGGACCGGAGATAAGTTATTTACTGTCAGTGCAGTTTTGTCAAAACATCTGTAAAATGGCCAATTATTGGCAAATACTGATGTGCGTCAGTAAGCCAATAAACGGCAAATAGTGATGTACTAATTGATAAACATAAAAGATCTGTTTATGGTTGAATTTGAAAAAAGTACAGGTAGAAATTAGCCTCCTCAATGTTACATACATCTGTAGGAGAAATAGATAACTATATGTTGGTCTCAAAATGACTGTAATGTATAAATGACACTTCAAAAATGACAGACTTAACTTCTAAGGATTAAAACTGAACATGATCACTCAATCACTAATACCAAGGCTCTTATTTATGTCAAATTTGCCGATCTTGATTGACTGGCAGTGAAATTGACCAGCTGTTGAACTTAACTGTCAGTCAATTAACGTGGCATAAAATTAGAATTACAGTTTTTATGTGCAAAAATATGTTTAGCATTCTCACTAATTATGCTGATCAAAATTCATTATTTAAGATTTTACCCTTTTTTTTCCAGGACAATTTCAAAAAGGATTAGCAGTATGTACTTGGGTAAGTTGTACTTTATAATTTCCAACTTTAACAGAAATTTCTACAGTTTCAGTAAAATAATATTATGTACATTTGTGCATATTTCCCTTTCAATCTAGTTCTACCATAGACCTTATAATACATACATTATAAGGTCCATGGTCTACTTAATTTTAACCCTACTTTAGTCTAACAACCATACACCTACCCATCATGATTTTTGTTGTTGACATATTTTGTGGAATGTTTATGAGCTTGAGGTGGGGAGCATATCTGAGTTCACAAGTTTGTCATGGTGATATGTCTGGTGAATAGTTACAGGTTTAGAATTAAACTTATCAATATTCAAGAGTCGCAAAACAATTATTTTCACTTTTCATTTAAACAATGTCCATCGATTATCACAGTTATCTATGCAATCTGCTTTTTAAAAAAATCAATATCAAGCATACAAGAGATGAATTCATTACAACACAAATAAAGTAGCCATGATTTCCAGACTAAGGCAGACAAGACAACTACTTTACCAGCTGTTCATAATGCCTGAAATCAATTGATTTTATTCCCAGTTGGATCTGTTTAATGTAGGAGTGTGTGCAGGATGGTCCTGCACAGATTGTTATTAATTTCCTTCTTCTCCCAAGACCACACCCGCACCTCAACCAGAAAAAAGAAATTACTGTTTCAAAAGTATCAGCCAATGTCTGGATTTTGTCATGGAAGTATAATCTAATGTCTGGTTGAACAACTCTAAATGTAACATGGGATTGAATTGTTCAGAAAGTGGAATTAAATGTCAGATAAGTTATTCTGCGAATATTACGTAACCAGGAATTTTAGCTGTACACATATAGATATGTAGGTAGGCTGTAGAACGATTAAGAAGAAAATGTACTTATGTATAGCAAGTAAATTTCAGTCTGTGTACTGTTTTTAAGAATTTTTATGTTCAATTCATTTGTGTGTTTTTTTCAACTGTAATATGTTAAAGATTGTAAAGGGACATGTTGATTCATATTCAATAATTTTGTGGGGTCTAAGGAATATGGGAGGATTGTTCATAAGGGAGATAGAGAAGTGGTGTTAGATATTACATGGCCTCAGAACAATCTCAATAAAAATAAAAAAAAATATGTATGGGATTAAGAGTCATTCCACGAGAAAACCATGCAGAAGGTTCGAAGGTGGGCGTTGGCCGATTGAGTTCATATTTACAGGGTTTGGTCGACCCATCGAGCCTACTCCCCAGCCAAAATCGCCGATTTTAGAAATCAACCGTTTCTGAGATACAGCCTGATTATGTTTTTCGGCTGATTTTCGACCATTTGTGTAGCATTGCTATAGCCATCAATCGACCAATGGCGAACTAAGTTTTGGTTGGTGGTTATAGTCCAGGTCTCACCCTACCATATTATAATGGTCACCCAGTGCAACCTCTCTTTCCGTAGGTGTCATGGCACTACACAAAATACATGTCTGCAGACACCTGAATTATACTCTTTCTTCAAATTGTGATAACTCCAGCTTGACCTGTTCTAACAACATAAAAAATAAAATCGTTGTCAACTAATCTTCAACAGCATGAAAAGTAACGAAATTCATCACCACAAATAATTCTTATTTCAGATGCCTTTCTTTCGTTTGCTGCCGAATAAACGAAGACTCGTAATTTTGGAGGAATATTATTTGCGTGAATTTGATTAAAACAGGCACGGATCGGCAAATTTCATTCTATCCTATTACGAAAACACAAAATTTTGTAGGAATATTACTGACATAAATTTGAATACCATACGGGAATTAAATATGAATAAGTGGTTGCCCTGCAAGATACACCCACATTTTGCAAGAGATAGACAGAGAACAAGCTAAATAAAAGCGATTTTTCGTACAACCAGGGGCCATCATCCAGTATGTTACAGTCTGACATGCGACAATATCAAAAGGAACCAAGATCTTTGGGATATAAAAGTATATAATATAAAAGTTTCATCAAGTTGAATAAAAATTGTGGTGTTAAGAGGGACTACACGATTAAAACGTGATTTTTCGTATATTCAGGGGTCATAATTCAGGATATGAGCGAGTATCGAAAGGAATCAAGATCTTTGGGATATAAACATACATTTTAAGTTTCATCCAAATCGGATAAAAATTGTGTTTCTAGAGTGTCCACAATCTTGGAATTGCATACTTTTACACTATCTGCGTATGTCGAGCGGCCATTTTGTTCGGCAGTTTCGATTCGAATTTCATGAAATACGAACTTAGTTGTCATTAGGGCGTAACAGTGATATATTGAAAATCGGGGGTCATATTCCACGAAGTTAAATGCGATATGTGCGAATATCGACATGGACCGAGATCTTTGGGACCTAAACATATATTAAAAGTCTCACCAAAATCAGATAAAAATTGTGACCTCGAGGGTGTCTACAACCTTGGAATTGCATGCTTTTACACTATTTGCGGCCATTTTGTCCGGCAGTTACGGTCCTATTTTCACAGAATTCGAACTCCGCCATCATTAGTGTGTAACAGTGATATATTAAAACGTTTTTTAAAATCGAATAAAAATTGTGACCTCTGGAGTGGCTACAAGCTAAAAACATGACTTTTTGTACAATCATGGTCCATAATCCATGAAGTTAAGATTCGATATGCAGGAATATCGAAAGGATCTGAGATCTTTGGGTTATAAACATACCTTTTAATTTTCAAAATCGGATAAAAATTGTGACCTCCAGTGTCCACAAGCTAAAAACATGATTTTTCGTAAATTCAGGGGCCATAGTCCATGAAGTTACGGTCTGATAAATGCCAATATCAAAAGGAACCAAGATCTTAGGGACATAAACCTATGTTTCAAGTTTTGTTGAAAATGGATAAAAATTATGACCTGTAGAGGGCCCATAAATAAATTGTTGACGGAAGGGCGGACATGTGGTGGCGACAATACCAGAATGTGGGCATACAAAAATAGCGAAGTGTTCCTATTTTCATTTGAATATTTTGTTGACATTTTATAAAGAAGAAAACAATGTTTTGACATCACAAACTATTCTTATTTCGGAAGTTCTGCATACATTTGCTATCGTATAAACGAAGACACGTAATTTTGAAGAAATATAACTGTTGTAAATTTGAAGCCAAAGCAGGATCGGAGAGCTTTCATTCAATCAATATATTACGAAAACACGTATATCAAAAATATCGAGGTGAACCTATTTTTATTACATACGGGATTTGAATAATACGTGATCAGAACTAAAGTTTTTGATGAAAGCTGACAAAATACAGCGATTAAGAAAACTAACTATGACATGTAGATATATTATAAGCTTCAGTTACACACTATCTGTGTTTTTCCCATCATGTTTCCTTCAGTTGGGTTTATATTTGAGGGAGGAAATTTATGGGGATCAGTCTGTTTGGTTTGTGTAGTCGTTTGGCATACTGAATATTCAGGATCCTTTGGATAGTTATCTTGGACAGGTTCACGAAGTAATGGTGTTTTAGATTCAGGGTGAAGGGAAATGGCCTCTTGTTCTGGTTGCTGTACTTCAGGAGGCAAATCTGGATCCACCACTTTAGTTTCATCTTGACAAACTACCATATCATTTTTATCTGAAATGTAAACACAATCAAATGCTATTTCTTTAATAAGCAATTTTTTTTATTTTTACCCTGGTTACTGTGGCATCGAGATTACATAATTTTAATTGGGGATTAATCTTTTCAAACCACTTTAGCTTCATCTTGATTAGGTGGATTTGAAAAATTTGTGGTTGGAATTAGTTTCAATGCTTATACTATGACTATGTCTTTCTTCTGGCTTGTCTATAAGGTCTGGTTCTATTAATCCAAGCTAATAGATGTATTTCAGATTGATTATTTAACATTTAGCTCGAAAATAAAATCAAAATACCAACACTAGATAATGTTTGGGCTTGGATTCAATTCAATTAGATTTAAAACAAGCATGAAAATAATTTTTGTGGACAACAAAATTGCAATAGGCTGATCACATAACAAATAGTATAGATGGATGATATTTTAATTCCACATAGTAAATACTGAGTGGAATTGAACTATCTTTGGACTGATATCCTTCTTAGATGTTCATTGTTCACAATATTGTAGTTTGCAAATAACTCCCATAGTGTTAAAATGATATATCAAGACTTTAATTAATTTCATACTGTTCAATAGGACCAAGTATGATTATAGTAGTATATAATTATTGACCAACCTTTATAATTTGGTAAAAAATCCTTTAGTTTTGGGCATTTTTTCAAGCGGAATACTAGTAGAAATATCGGTAAAATAAAAACTAAAACACCCACAACAACACCTGTAAAACATAAAATTAATAACTTATGTAATTCAACAAAAGTAGTAATTGCATAAAGTCCTGATAGTTGTACAGAGCCAGTGTTTTATATCATTGTTTTTATTGTTTCCTTGAAGTTACAACAAATCAAACATTGATCAAACAAAAGAGATATTATGGAACAGTGAGATCCTAAGTCATCCTCTGCACATCCTACATTTACCAAATGTATCTTTTTCTTTTTTGGGCTGTGTCGGATCATTCAACTGCATGCGCAATGAAAAGAAAAATGGAAGGGATTTATAGTGTTAGTTTATCTGGAAATACAAGATGAAACATCAAGAAGTTTATCTGGAAATACAAGATGAAACATCAAGGGGCACATTAGTTTTTTGCAATACATTCCTGATACTATAAATGCACTAAAATACTTCGTTGGAAGATATATGTTTAAAAATTTAAGATGAATCAAAAAATGAAAAAAAAAAAAGCAGAATATGCCTAAGTGGTCCACGCGCAAAGATATTCTCCAAAAACACCAGCCAAAATAGTGAATATATCAAAAGTATAACATAATAATTTTGACTATGTGAAAAAAACAGGAAGGGACGCATCTTGCCTAATTACATAAAAACATAAATAACCAAATTCTACCTCCTAGAACTGACTAGACGATAAAAGGATCTCGTACACACTACGCATCCGTTTAACATATTTTTTTTATGTCTGAAGTTACCATCAAATGCCTTGTAGTTGTAATTGATAGACATGTCAGATAAATGAAAATAAAATTGAATTCCACCAGTTTTGTCAGTTACCGCAAGAGAATTATTACCCTTGCTCACTTTGCTGAATTTTGTAAAAATTACTAGCAACCAAAGTTATTATCAACCGACAATCATTCTGAATTTCAACAGAACTTACTTAATATTAGGATTGTCAAATTTTTCTGTTTCAGCTTCATTTCGCCTAAAATAAATGAAATAATACAATGTATTTAAGTGAGGAGATTATTAGATTATCATAAATTAGGCTTGTGAAAGTTTTAAAATTTTCATTAGGAAGTTTAAGCCAGCTTTAACTTGGACTTTTTTCAGCTTCTTTTTTGCCTAAAATAAATGAATTAATGCATTGTGTTTAAGAATGGAGATTATCATGAATAAGGCTCATGAAAGTTTTAGAATTATCATTGGGGAATCTGGGAACTGTACAAACATTTTTGCTGCCTGACAATAAGTCAAATGACTTAAATTGTTGATATTCAGACTTGACTTTTTCCAGGTCAGTTGATTGGTTCTTCGCTAAAACAGAACAGATACTTTCTGTATTAAAGTTAAAATCCATAGACCTACCGGTACATATATTGATCAGTCTTTTTTAAATGTGCCAAGATACCGAGCAGTACTGGCCTCTCGAATTGAATGTCCCAAGTTTCAAAACCCCGTCCAGTTCTCATGTGCCATAGTTCCTTGTTGTTCGGATAGTAACAAAAAAAAGAAAAAAAAAAGTTCCACTGTGGGCACATAACTCACCTTTCAACTTAAATTGTTGATATTCAGACTTGACTTTTTCCAGGTCAGTTGATTGGTTCTTCGCTGAAACAGAAAAGATACTTTCTGTATTAAAGTTAAAATCCATAGACCTACATATTATCAGTCTTTTTGAAATGTGCCAAGATACCGAGCAGTAGGGTACTGGCCTCTCGAATTGAATGTCCCAAGTTTCAAAATCCAGTCCAGTTCTCATGTGCAATAGTTCCTTGTTGTTCGGATAGTAACAAAAAAAACAAACCCAAGTTCCACTGTGGGCACATGACTCACTTTGCAATTTAAATTGTTGATATTCAGACTTGACTTTTTCCATGTCAGTTGATTGGTTCTTCGCTGAAACAGAACAGATACTTTCTATATTAAAGTTAAAATCCATAGACCTACATATTATCGGTCTTTATTAAATGTGCTAAGATACTGAGCAGTAGGGTACTGGCCTCTTGAATTGAATGTCACAAGTTTCAAAACCCAGTCCAGTTCTCATGTGCCATAGTTCCTTGTTGTTCGGTTAGTAACAAAAAAAAAAACAACCCAAGTTCCATTGTGGGCACATATATATGTGCACACATAAAGGAATCCCTGTGGTTAGAAATTCAAGAGAAGTAGACAGGAACACATTTTTGCAAGCAAAATTCTCTGACATTGTACATGTGACAATTAAAATTCATATGTTAGTCTCAAAATGACCAAAGCATTGTGTAGACGGAGCATTAAACCATTCCATGCCAAGCAGGGCTCACACTGGCTTTCAATTTTTTTTTTGCCAAAATGGATGATAATTTTTATATAAAAAAAATGTTCATATTTTTTTCCCCCAACTGGAATATTTTAGCTGCCAAAATTGAATGACAACACATAACAATTCTACATCTCAACTTGGATTATTATAAAACAATTACCGATAGATACAATACAATATACAACTTTAAAATTCTGTCTTTACATAGATTAGCAAAGTTGGGATTTTTAAATAAGATCATATTTTATTTTTGGTGACTTTAGTCTATTTGAACACCATACTGTACAATATTTTTTCTGTATTTACAAGTCAAATCTCATCCAAGGATTGCCAGTTTTCTATAAATTTATGTGTTGCGTGCACAATGGGCCTATTGTTATTTTCAGGTACCGGAAAGTTATCAGAATCTGAATCTCTGATATAATGGTATAAATTTCAATTATATTTGTTAAGAGATGCTTAAAACCTGTTGTTAACTTTTAGAGCATTTTGTCGACCAACGGTAATATGATAAAAATGTCGAACTGTTTTCTCGCTCAAGAATAGTCACTATTCAACTCGTTCTCGTCCAGTGGTGATAATATAATTTGAAATAATGATATCTGATCGGCATGCTTGTATTTTTTACATGCCGTATATGAAGCCATGGTAAACGAATTCAATTATTAAAATATTTAATTCTCTTCGCAATCATTAGGAGTAAATAATGACTTGAGATAAGGTTTAAATATATCATTGGCAATCATCAATCAACTAATCATTAATCCAAAACAACTGATTGGTATTACTCATTGACCCGATCCGGATTATCCGCCTGTTGATTAATTTATAGTATCCCGCCATGTGATTGACACTCAATAATGGTTAATCCAGGATAAATACGATTAGAATTTTGAGATTTTCTTCCGCCAGTTCTCAAAAAGAATCGCCAGTACCGCAAAACATCGCCAAAATCAAATTTTAATCGCCACTTTCAAATTTTTATCGCAAATTGCGACTTTGGCGACCGACAGTGTGAGCCCTGATGCCAAGAGAATTATAACATACCTCCTTTCTGCATGGGATACAATATATGTGTCATCTTTTAAGGGACATTATTATCACCCTCACCAAGAATGTGAATAACGTCATATTAAAAATGCCCTAATTATAGACTCTATAAATTACTGTAACTGCAAGAAGTGATAAATGATCTACTTAGAGAAATGTATAGGAAAATAGGACATCTTTTAATCCAAATGTGACAGGAAATTTGATGGATAATGTTGATTCCAGTCCCAGTATTTATATGCCCACATTGAAATGTTTTATATTCAAATTGTTCTTAAGAATCAATTCTAGTTGAATTTTTAAATACATAAAAAACTTTTAAATTGGAATATTTATTACTTACTAATAATACAGTTGTACATCAGACATCCCACATCTTCGTGATTAGCCCTGCAGTAGCTTTCAAGATAGCCGCATGGACTGCAAATCATGTCCATTTTATCACAAAACCGTTCTCCTTTATCACATGGATCAATTCCACACATAACATATTTTTGAGGTTCAGCTGTTGATTTTTCTAAATTTGTTATCACTAATGATATAGTAGCTAGTAAAACTATTGATGGACTCATCTGTAAGGTTATAAAAAAATGTCCATTGATTGGAACCACAGAAAAAAATTAAGCAACTAATGCTCAATTATTTAGCCAAAATAATATCAGGCTACTTTTCTACACCAATTTGGCTAATGAAGGCACCCATACACTCAGACAGTGGCACAGTTTTTATTTTGAATTCAAACTGTAAAGTTTGCCAATGAGACAGTTCTTTACCAGTCCCTCCATCCTGCGCCACTCACAATGAAAAACTGTGCTGGAAATTTGAGAAATTTTATCGGCCTAGCAGGGATCAAACTTGGAACTTAATAATAACTGAGCCACCATGACTGCCCAATTATTTAGCTAATGCGGTTAAGCCCCATTCTATTCTGTAAGTATAAAAAGGATTTATGTCCCTATTTCCTTCTCAAATTAGACAACAATTATTTTTAAAAACAAGTATGTGGTACCTTACTGGTTTATAAATGTCAGAAGACAGAAAAAATAAACGACAGTTTGATAACTGGAGTTTTGTTAGTAAATAAGAGTACTCACTTTAAAGTATATGTAAACACTCCCTCAGTTATGTTCTGTTATGAACTGTGATAACACAAATCATACACAGCTTTTTATAACATTGTTGTGGGTAAACCCATTTATAAAATTCGAAATTGTATAACCCATTAAAACTATCAAAAAGGTTTTTATAAGGTTTTGACCTCAACCCATTAATTATGTCCACTGCCTTTCGAAGAAAGCAGGGGACTATTAAAATGGATCTGTCTGTCTGTCCGTCACACTTTTTGGGACACAATAACTTTCCTAATTGAGTATTGAGCTAGAATGTTCGAACTTGGTATACGTGTTTATTAGGTCAATACCTTGATGGAGTTTGAAGATGAGAATTTTCTGCTTAGGGTAAGCGGAGATAAGCAACTTCATTGGTTGATGCTTTTGGACACGATAACTTTAGTTCTAATTAAGTGAGAGTGATCAAACTTGGTGTGTAGTTTCATTACATCAATACTTTGACTAAGTTCGATAATGAGCATTTTCTGCTAAGGGTAGGCAGAGCGATAAGGAATTTGATTGGTCAAGACTTTAGAACACAATAAATCTCCTTCGAATTGAGCTAAAATGTTCACACTTGGTGTAGGTGTTTATTAGGTGAATGTCTTGATGGAGTTTAAAGATGAGAATTTTCTGCTTAGGGTAAGCAGAGATAAGTAATATGATTGGTTGATACTTTGGAACACGATAACTTTAGTTTTAATTAAGTGAGAGTGATGAAACTTGGTGTGACTAATTCCGATAATAAACATTTTCTGCTGAGGGTAAGCAGAGCGATAAGCAATTTGATTGGTCGAGAATTTGGAACACAATAACTCTCCTTCTAATTTAGCTAGAAGGTTCACATTTAGTGTTTATAAGGTGAATGCATTGGTGGAGCTCGATGATGAACTTTGTCTGCTTATGGTAAGCAGAGATAAACAATGTGATTGGTTGATGCGTTGGGGCATGATAACTTTGGGGCGCGATACACAATTTGATTGGTCAAGACTTTGGAACATAATAACTCGCTTTTAATTGAGGTAGAAGGTTTAAACTTGATGTAGATGCTCAGTAGGTGAATGTCTTGACTGAGTTCAATGATTAACATTTCCCACTAAAGTTAAGCGAAGCTAAGCAATTTCATCGGTTAATGCTTTGGGACAAAATAACTTTGATTATATCTGATAAAGAGTGATGAAATTAAGTGTATAGTTGATAATCAATTTGATTGCTTGATAATTTTGAAAAAAGTAAATGTGCAATTAATTAATGTCATTTACTTTTTTCGGGATTTTGGCGGGGGACATAAGCCTCACTGTTGGCTTGTACAATTTTAGAATACCATTAACAATTGTTAGACACCTTTATAAAACAAGCTCTTTGTACTTTTATTTGTCCTCTTTTTCTATGAGAATCCTGGTGTGGTTGTACAACTGGAGCTAGTCAGTCATGATTGAGAGGTGGGTAAGTCAAGCATATGTGTAGGAATGGGAGGGCGATAAAGGAATTCTCAGTTTCCTTCCCGTTGGTTAAAGGGACAACTGTGTCTTTTCTGATACAGTGTTTATGGAACCTTAATATTACAGTGTCTAACTTAATATTAGGATCAGTTTCATTGTGGTTACAATATATCAAGAAAAGGATAAACTAAAGGTGTATACCGGTATATATATTATGTATAAAACATTTTTTGTACAGTAAATGAAATGCCCCACCGCCTTGTCAAAACATACAGAAGCAGTGGGGCAGTACCGCTGAAGTGAAAATAATGAACTTTTGGTTCTATTTGAGAGATAGATGGGGAGTAGCATATTTATCATGTGTGTAACGCACAGCACAGGGAGTTCACATCCTAAGACTCCAATAATTGTAATAATAATAATGATAATAATAAGGCATTTAATATATAGCACCTAATAGTCCTAAGATGCTCTAAACGCTTTACAATCACCATATCACATGACCCGACATATGTCAAATCATGATATATACTACTTTTAATTACTGATAGGCTTGGTTGTATAAATGAGTTTTTAAATTGGTTTTTAAATGTGTGTAACGCACAGCACAGGGAGTTCACATCCTAAAACTTCAATAATTGTAATAATAATAATGATAATAATAAGGCATTTAATATATAGCACCTAATAGTCCTAAGATGCTCTAAACGCTTTACAATCACCATATCACATTACCCGACATATGTCAAATCATGATATATACTACTTTTTATTACTGATAGGCTTGGTTGTATAAATGAGTTTTTAAATTGGTTTTAAAAATGTCTACGGTCTTGCTTAAAATGTCTACGTCTTGCTTGATCTAATGGTTTCTGGATCGATCTTGACAAAATTGCTGATAGGTAGTCAAACTTAATATTGACTAAGCGCGAATGCTAAATGAAAATATGAGGACATAGTCATACCTTTGCTAATGAAGATGTAGGTCCATGTAAGTGATGTGATTACAACTTTCAGAATTTGTCTCGGATTCACAGTACTTTGTATGTTCTTGCAAAACTCTTAATAACATGAATTCCCATGCATAGTACTCAATTTTACTCATGTTATAAGTCTTTTCTGACCATCATAATTCTGCAAAATCTTCCCCTAAATTCCATTTCAGGGACTCTAGATTAAACAATTTCTCTGTGGGAGCATGCCCCCGCACCTCCCTAGAAAGCTTGCACCTCCAGTGCTTGACTCATGGCTGCTTCACTCATATTAGGGGCATTGTGGATCAGTCAGTCTCATTTTTGCTAAACATCCCCCCCCAAACAAAATCGATATGTATGCCGCTGGAAATGAGCATATGTGGGTGCATGTTTTGTTGCCTGGCAACCTATCTTTTATTGTATGTGTGGTCTTTTTTGCGCAACTCTGTAACTTAGTAACTTAAGTGGCAGGGGTGGGTTGATGGCTGAATGGTTAGCGTGTGCGCGCTGTATTATGAAGTCTCTCATTGAGTCAGCTGGCATGGTTTTGATTCCTCGGTTGTGCGTGACAAGGAGTAGGGTTGCCTGTCCATCCTCGTGGGTTTTCTCCGGGTCCTCCGGTTTCCTCCCACTGCTATTGAAATAAAATTAAACCATATGTTAGTCCCGAAATGACCTAGTTTGTGTCGAGTGGACGTTAAACTCCATCTCTCTCTCTCTCTCTTTCTCTCTCTCTAGTACCTTAAGTGATTTACTTGATAATTTTCATATGGTTTTGTGAAAATGCCCCATATTTCAGTTAATGTATATATACTTCCATGCATGTAAGTGTTTAATACCGGGAAATCTATATGAGTTGGTAAATAGTACCCAGGTAAACATGCTTTGTTTCTACATGCGTATCCATGATTAATGTGAACACTTTTCAGGCCAGAATTTTTCAATCACAAATGATTTTGAATTTTGACTGTCCAATACAAGAAAAGTTTTGCATGGAATTTTTAAATATATTTTTATGTGCCCACATTTTTATTTGGAGGTATATTGTTGTCACCCCTGTCCATCAGGTCGTCTGTCCACAATTTGTTTATGGACAGTCTTCAGGTCACAATTTTTATCCGATTTTGACCAAACTTGAAATATAGGTTTATCTACAAAAGATCTTGGTTCCTTTCAATACTGTATCAGACAGTAACTTCATGGATTATGACCCCTGATTGTACGAAAAATCACGATTTTAGCTTGTGGACACTTTAGTGGTCATAATTTAAAATTGTATCTGATTTTGATGAAACTTGAGATAAAATTATAACCTAAAGATCGCAGATCCTTTCAATGTTCGCGCATATCAGACCGTAACTTCCTGGATTATGGCCTCTGATTGTACAAAAATATCACGATTTTAGCTTGTGGACATTCTAGAGGTCACAATTTTTATCCAACTTTAAAAATCGTTTAAATATATCATTGTTACACCCTGATTTGTAGGAGTTCAAAATTCGTAAAAACTAGAAAGAAGCTGCCCAACAAAATGGCCACTCCTTGAACGCAAATAGTTTAAAAGTATGTAATACCAAGGATATTGATGAAACTTAAAATGTATGTTTATATCCGAAAGATCTTGGTTCCTTTCAATATTTGCATACATCAGACCATAACTTCATAGATTATAGTCACAATTTTTATCTGATTTTAAAAACAGTTTAAATATTGCACTGTAATGAAGGTTGTACGCAAATAGTGTAAAAGTATGTAATACAAAGGTTGTGGACTCTCTAGAGGTCAAAATTTTTGTCCAATTTTGATGAAACTTAAAATATATTTTTATATCCCAAAGATCTTAGTTCCTTTCGATATTCACACATTTCAAACCATTATTTACTGGATTATGGCCCATGATTGTACGAAATATCACTTTTTTATTAGCTTGTTCTCTATCCATTTCTTGGAAAATGTGGGCACATCTTGCATGGCAATCACTTGTTGATTCTTCGTTTGGGCTAAAGAGGAACCCAATTGATATTCAAAATTTTTCAATAACAGCCTATCAAATTTCAAATTTTTGGTTTTTAAATTTCAATGACTTTCTGTTCACATTTTTAGTTTTAAGCTTAAAAGTTTGGGACAGACTTCACCATGAACTATTGAGTATAGTAACATCCAATATCTATTTAAGTGGAAAAAACTGTTATTTTGAACGATAAATTAAACCTGAAGTTATACTTCAAGACCAAAGTCAGGGTCATCATATTATGCAATGGTCAAGAGTCATTGAACCGTTAAATTTTGCGCTCTGAAGAAATTCTCTGCGAAGCTTAGTGGCGAGACAAAGAGGAAGGAAACGGAAGTGCTGTACAAGTGGCGGGAAAAGGAGAAAGAAACGGAAGTGCCTGTAAATGTTAGTCCCAGAGGAAAGAACAGCCCGATCACAAAGGCTATTACTTCGTAATATTAATTTATGCTTGGACTCCCTCCCCTTCAATAAACAAACTCATGGTTGGTTGGAGGAAGATGTCATTTATTAATGTAACTAAAACATGATAAAAGACTGTACAAAAAGTATTTCAATATGTCATTTAGTTTACTTAATCTAACTAAAACATAATAAATGACTGTACACAAAGTACTTCAAAAACCTGATGTTGGACTTAGCAAGGTGACAAAATATGGCCCAACGTCAGTATCTAAACATAAGCAATACAATTTAATTAAGATTCAATAATGATAAACATGATTATGACAATATAATTTAAAAACCGTTAAGAACTAGACTTGTAAGCAGCACTGAACTGGCTTTCTGGAATCAAACAGGACGAAAAGTACCCTTTTTTTTTCCCAAAAAATATCGGATATTGTTTTAACTACTTCTGGTTTACAGATCATTGTCGGGATAGCTTTAACAAGTGGTCTGGATACTTAACTTCCTGTATCAGAAGTTTCAGAAACATCCATTGATTAGTTTAAAACAAAAAGAAAATTAAAGAGCATTTTAAATAATTTAACGATTTTTCGACTTTTTTTCAAAGTTTGAGGCCCTTTTTATACGCCCACATTTTCATGTGGACGTATATTGTCGTCGCCCCTGTCCGTCTGTCCATCCGGACGTCTGTCTACAATTGTTTGTGAACAGTCTACAGATCACAATTTTAATCCGATTTCAATTAAACTTGCAATATAGGTTTATCACCCTAAGATCTTGGTTCCTTTCGATACTGGCATCTATCGGACTGTAACTTCATGGATTATGGCCCCTGATTGTACGAAAATTCACGTTTTTAGCTTGTGAACACTGTAGAGGTCACAATTTTTATCCGATTTAGTTTAAACTTGAAATGTATGATTATAACCCAAAGATCTCGGTTCCTTTCGATATTCGCGCATATCGGAACGTAACTTCCTGAATTATGGCCCCTGATTGTACGAAAAATCGCGTTTTTAGCTTGTGGACCCTATAGAGGTCATAATTTTTATCTGATTTAAAAAAAACGTATTATTATATCACCGTTAAACCCTAAGGACGGCTGAGTTCGAATTTCGTGAAAATCGGCCTAAAACTGACAGACAAAATGGCCGCCGTTCGTTGTGGACCCTATAGAGGTCACAATTTTTATACGCCCACATTTTCATGTGGACGTATTATGCCGTCGCCCCTGTCCGTCCGGACGTCCGTCCGTCCGTCCGTCTCTCTACAGGTCACAATTCTTAACCGATTTCGACGAAACTTGAAATATAGGTTTATCCCCAAAAGATCTCGGCTGCTTTCGATATTGGCATGTATCGGATCGAAACTTCATGGATTATGGCCCCTGTTTGTACGAAAAATCACGTTTTTAGTTTGTGGACCCTATAGAGGTCACAATTTTTATCCGATTTTGTTGAAACTTGAAATGTAAGTTTATAACCCAAAGATCTCAGTTCCTTTCGATATTTGCGCATATCGGACAGTAACTTCCTGAATTATGGCCCCTGATTGTACGAAAAATCACGTTTTTAGCTTGTGGACCCTATAGAAGTCATAATTTTTATCCGATTTAAGAAAACGTTCTATTATATCACCGTTACACCCTAAGGATGAATGAGTTCGAATTTCGTGAAAATCGGCCCAAAATTGACAGACAAAATGGCCGCCGTTCGTTCCCAAATAGCGTAAAAATATGGTATATCAAGGTTGTGGACCCTATAGGGGTCACAATTTTTATCCGATTTTGTTTAAACTTGAAATGTAAGTTTATAACCCAAAGATCTCGGTTCCTTTCGATATTCGATTTTAGGTTGTGGACCCTATAGAAGTCATAATTTTTACCCGATTTAAAAAAACGTATTATTATATCACCGTTACACCCTAGGGACGATTGAATTTGAATTTCGTGAAAATCGGCCCAAAATTGACAGACAAAATGGCCGCCGTTCGTTCTCAAATAGCGTAAGAAAATGGTATATCAAGGTTGTGGACCCTATCCCAAATATCTCAGTCCCTTTTGATATTTGCACATTTCAAACCATGACTTTCTGGATTATTGCCCCTGATTGTACAAAACATCCCGTTTGTTTTTAGCTTGTTCTCTATCCATCTCTTGCAAAATGTGGGGGTATCGTACCTGGCAGGCGCTGGTTCAAAGTTTGAGACCCTATTTGGACCCTTTATATCAGTGCGAGGCTTTTACATTTGGATTCACACACTAGACGACAGATAGGAATCTGAGTAACAGAAGTTTAGGGAAAGAAATAAAAGTAGTTTTCAAGATAAAAGCATCTGAAAAGGCTCCATAAAGGAAAATACTACATTTTCAGCATCCCATAATCTATTGACTAACCATCCAATGTCATATAATAGTCCATTATTCAGGCTATCCAATGACACTTTAGTTGGTTTGATCCATAAACATCTAGCATAGAAATCACTCTTTTTTAAGGTAACTTTTTTACGTTTTTTTTTTCCTGACAACTTCCGGTTTTGGAAATAGTTTTAACAAGTGATTTGGATACTTAACTACCTGTACCAGAAGTTTCAGAAACATCCATTTAAAAGTTTTAAAAAAAAAGGAAAATAGAAGAGCATTTTCAGTAATTTAATACTTTTTCAAAAATTTAGGCCCTTTTTGAACCACTTATATTATTTTTTGATACACACCCTAGACCACCGACTGTGTGTAAACATAAAGCAAACATAAACATAAAAACCAATAAGAATAAACATAAAGCGGTACAATCTAAAAATAGAGCATCAATAAGTTTGGTGGAGCAGGCTAAGGAGAGGGGGAGGGGGGGCAATTGAATTCTCTATCAAATGTTTACATGTGGTCTTTCACTGGCATATACGCTCAAAATGAAATCTTGCAAGACTGCCGCGGTCACAAGATCAACTCAGATTACATTATTGTAATTTATTTGTGCCTGAACTCACTCCCCCTGGTTGGTTGGGGTGGGGGAAGATAATATTATTTCTTATTGGAACAAAAACTATGTCATAAGGTCCAGATTGGTACCCAAGTCATTCACAAATTTGGCATTAATATTATTATGTTTAACACTCATTTTATGTTTAACACTCAATTTATAACAGTTCATAATCATAACCATAAAAGCTGGGGGGTTTTATCCACCCTCACACTGTTGAAAATAAATAGACATACATTAATTTATTCACAAAACATCTTTCTTAGCAAAAAATACCAAATATATTCAATTAACCCTTTTACATTTTAACAGCATCCAAGATGTACGGCTGTGTCATTTGACTTCCTATAGCACTCTAAGTAGGTATCAAAAGGATGCGATTCTGTACATTCAGTAGTAGGGAGACAGTTCATTTGCCTCATCGCCAGATCTAGGTCTGTAAAACTATCAGAAGGCAGTGGTATGCTCGTTAACCCCAATCCAGAGTCTTCATCATTGGACAGTACTTTTGAATTAGTGGGGTTTCTTTCCGCGTCATATTGAAGTGTCAGCTGTTCTATGGCACCATTGACCATTGATAACTGAGTCTCTGCAAAATGATGTCCTTGTTGTGCCACGACACCTCTCCCTTAAGAATTAAATAATGATAAAGGTTAATGGCAAAAGCAGCTTAGTTCAAGAAATGAATAATAACATTTAGACTTAGGAGCTTGAAATTTGGAACTAACAATATATTTCATTTAATCCAAGTCATTATTACATAACCTTAATCTGCCTTGCCTTGAAACAATTTTTAAAACTTCCTAAACAGTTGATTTATTTCAAGAGGAGGACTCGCTAGATAAATCCTAACTGTAGTCACTTCAGATTTTGTGTAATGTTCATCATAGTTCATTGATAAGTTAATAAAGGGGCAGCAGGTAAGATTAGATAAAGAGGTGACAGTTCTGGCTGTAATAGTTAACAAATGGATAATGAGACTATGCTGAAAATTTCAGTCAAATTGCTCCACTCTGAACCAAGATATTATCGATTCAATTTTAAGCTAGCCTCGATCATCATTACTAATGTTGGTATTATAATAAACAAAGTCTTGATTATCCATTTGGACGTTAAATTGTCCATCACAAAATGGTATTCAAATCCAATAAATATCACAGGCTAACGATGGCATCGAGAGTTTATTATGGTCTGCATAAGTTAACTAATGTCTGATTAATAATTTAGATAACATTTAAGGCCTAAAGAAAGACCTGCAATAGGCAGATTTACCTCTTGCATAATGTATGTTCAATTCAACTACAGCTCTTGGCTGTTGGTCAAATTTGTAAATATATTTTTATACGTAGTACCATTTTGTGTGAATATAAACTTACTTTTCTCAGCGAATTCTATACATGTAACTATCGTAAAAATACAAACTGATAGTACAACCATTAATAAATTGTCAAAGATACTAATCATGTAGTTTTCTGCTGGAAAAAAGATAGGAGAGAGATTATAACTTGGACAGACATAGTTATTTATATTTATATGATTATATTTATAGTACTTGTTAAAGATGCATTCCCACAAAAGTATTTATCGGGTGGTTATTTCCAATAAGAGTATGCCAATTTTGGTATATATGGAAAGTAGAGACACAATCTTACTAGAAAAATACTGGATTCCCTGGAAAACACCCGGGACAAAACTAACAGGGTATCACTAATTATTAGTTGGATGATTAGGGCTGTCTGCTTGAGTGACGTCAGTGGTTGCACGCGCAGATCGTCTGACCTTTTTGCATTAGTGAGTGCTTAATATGTTGATAAACAAGATGGCGAGCGGACTTGGAAAAAGTGAGAGACTTAAAGAGGAATTACGCAAAATCAGATAGAGAGCTGATGGTTCTCTTTATAATAGATATAAAAAAAGATAATGAAATGGGAATATGTTGAAATTTCAGACAAATTACTTCACTCACAGCCGAGACATCACCATTACAAGAACCATGTAGCCTTGATTGTCATTGCTATCATTGTTAAGATTATAAATAAAGTCTCAATTATCCAATTTTAGTTTTTAAAATCATAAACCGCAAAACCTGTTTAAATCTACTTAAAATTGGAGCCATCTGATGGCATCAAGTTTTGATTATGTTCGTGGTAAGTTAATTAACGTCAAATTAATAATTTTTATCACCCAATAATACATTCTACAGTAGATATCGCTTTACATGAATTTGATTGGTCAGTTGAAAAGGAACTATTTTTTTTATTTTCGAAGAACAGTTCATTTCCTATTAAAAGTAACTTTTTTTTTATTAAATAGGAACTTTTGTTATTCAATTGACCTTGATGGAAACACTGGGTCAATATAAAGGACTTTGCAATGGTTGAATTGCTGTCAAAAAATGATGTACCACTATGCCGTAATGTTCAGTAAAAGTGAAATCTACAGCAAAGAATTATATTTATCTATTTGTGCATGTAAGAAGGGATTGGGTGATAAATAAAATCTCCTACTCGTCTTTTTTGATATCAAAAAATATCAACACCCGGCAGAGCCTCGTTTTTTGTTACTTTATCAAATTGTGTTGATATTTTTTGATATCAAAAAACACTGGTAGGAGATTCTCTATATATAACATTTAAGGCATAAAGAAAGACCTGCAATAGGCAGATTTAGCTCTTGCATCAAGCCTGTTTAATCATGCAAGTGATTCTGAGACTAACATTTCAGGCCTAAAGAAAGACCTTCAGTAGGCAGATTTAGCTCATGCATAATGTATGTTTAAGCAATTCAAGTACATTATCCAACGTTCTTTATATTTCGCCATTATTAATATGATAAAAATAGAACTTTGATGATTAATCACCAAAATGACATATATGAAACTTGAAGAATTCATCTATTGCAAAGACTTGAAAATCCAAAATTTCTTACAGGCTCAATCATCCATTGCAATCAGGTCTCTTGATCTCACCATTGCCCTTATAATATGAAACTAGAAGTTCAACTCTTTAATTGACTTAAATTCTGACATGATTGCTTATAAATAAAATGACCTAAATTATAATTCACCTGTATTCTCTACGAGTCCAGGTATGGTGTCAGGTAGCTGCGACACTGAAAAATATATTTTTATATTTAAAATTACAGTAGTATATTCTTCACTGTAAATGCTGATATTTGGGTAACGGGAAGAATCTTGTAAAACCAGAAATTACTCTGGTACATAAAAAAATTCATTTCATTTAATGAACAATAAACATATCCTTACCAGTAGTCAAATATTTAATTTCTGAAAAATAAGAAAATAAATTAAAGTAATGAAAATAAACAACCAAAATTTGAAGAAAAAAAAAAAAAAATTGTTTTGAGCTGTAATATCTATTGTGGTTAACTGTTCACTCTAGCATTTAAACTGGCTATGATTGTTCCTGTAGTGATTGATGAAGATGTCTACAAAAATATGCTGGATCTTTGTAAGAAGTTGGTATTCAACTTACCTAAATCTCTTAAGTCTAATTTCATATTTAAAATGTAGATAAACATTATTATAATGGGACAAAGAAACATCAATGCTGTAAACAGCATTCTACATGTATTCTGAAAAATATAAAAATCAGCACTTAATTTACCGTAAGGTTAAGTCTCCAATATCCAATTAATGATTTCAATTTGATTGAATGTTAAAGTTTAAAAAGTTGTGAATCTCTCTCCAGTTAATGCTTTTGAAATGTTTCAAAGAATGTCTTTATCAATTTTCATCATTCGCAGCTGGATAAGACAATAAAATGAAAATTTGTATTAAAAAATTTATATTTACCTGTACTAAAGGCATCTTGACTTTTCTAAAAAAAAAGAAGAAAAAGTTATTTAGACTCTTACAGAAGATGATTTACAGTATCTAAAGGAAACAGTTAAACTATTTCTATATATAAACAATGGCAGCTACACTCAAATCTACTTTTTATACGCCCACATTTTCATGTGGACGTATATTGTCGTCGCCCCTGTCCGTCCGTCCACAATTGTTTGTGAACACTCTAGAGGTCACAATTTTTATCCAATTTCAACTAAACTTGAAATATAGGTTCATCACCCTAAGATCTCGGTTCCTTTCGATATTGGCATGTATCGAACTGTAACTTCATGGATTATGGCCCTTGATTGTACGATTATGGCCCTTGATTGTACGAAAAATCACGTTTTTAGCTTGTGAACACTGTAGAGGTCACAATTTTTATCTGATTTGGTTTAAACTTGAAATGTATGTTTAACCCACAGATCTCGGTTCCTTTCGATATTCGCGCATATCGGACCATAACTTCCTGAATTATGGCCCCTGATTGTATGAAAAATCGCGATTTTAGCTTGTGGACCCCATAGAAGTCACAATTTTTATCCGATTTAAAAAAAAACATGTGAATATATCACCGCCGTTACACCTTAAGAATGATTGAGTTCGAATTTCGTAAAAATTGGACCGAAACTGATCGACGGACAAACAGCATAAAAATATGGTATATCAATGTTGTGGACCCTGTACAGACTTGAAATGCATATTTATAACCCAAAGATCTTGGTTCATTGACAAGGGGAAACCATGCTGGAAAATCTAGATGAACTTTCTCGGCCAATGCAGGGATCGAACACCCGACTTCCAGGCTAGCGAGCCAGTGTCTTACCCACTTAGCCACGTGATCCCCCACACTTTTAGGAGAACCTTGATAAAGTGTTGGAGACTACAGTTTTCAATAGCGTTTTTTTCAACTTTGGTATGAAGCAGTAGGACTGTGAGAAGATTAACCCTGTTGCTTTTTAAACATACATTATGCAAGAGCTAAATCTGTCTATTGCAGGTCTTTCTTTAGGCCTGAAATGTTATCTAAATTATTAATTAGACATTAATTAACTTATCCAGACCATAATCAACTCTAGATGGCATCGCTAGCCTACAATCTTAAGTGGATTGTGAGCCGATTTACTGCACAACTTTCCTTCTCGATTAAACGATTAAATGTTTATCGTACTGACTTTAGTAATGATGAACGAGGCTAGGCAGAAATTTCATTCGCTTAGTTCTCGGTTCATAGTGGATCAATTTGAATGAAATTTTCAGCAAATTGCCTTTACATTATCTAGTTTTTAATTATTATAGTGAGAACTGCCAACTCGTTATCGAATCTCCCATAATGTATCTTTAAATCTGGTCTGAAGCATTGGAATTAGAAAGGATGAACCCTGTTTATTTTCAGAAAATCTCGTGACCATGATAGAGATTGTCATTTCAGATTTACTGCAGTTGAGACATAGCTGCTATGTGGGTATATTTCCATGCTTTGCATGGCTATCTTACCCCAAGTTCACAAGGCATTCTCAGACTTAAGTTAAGAATTTACTCAAAATTGTCAGCCTTATTTTAACTAAAATATAGCCCTGTATAAAACATTTGTTGTCTTAAATACATCAATAAAAAACTATGTGCGAAGTTTTGTTTTTCTGGATCAAAGATATTTCTCATAAATAGTGATTGAAAGTTGAGTAATTTCTTAACTTAAGTCTGAGAATGCTTTGTGAACTTGGGGCCTTATCTTAAAACAAATTGGAGAGTTCACACTGTTTTCTTGTGCTATTTTATGGACAAAAAGAAATAAAAAAATTAATTCAGCAGATTATGATTTCTAATTTGATTCCCAAAATGGTTGTGTAATTGTATTAAATTGACAATGAAATGTCAATGGCTGGTTGTGTATGATTAAATGGCTGAATGACTCTGTAAAGGTATGTTTGATCCTGTATTCTATAGTAGTGTTCATAACATAAATGGCTCTTTCACAATATATATAAGATCTTTCTGTAACAAAATACTCAATGTTTATTTAATGGATGAGATAAAATAAGATCTCTATTTAGTGTCAGATTTTCTCACCTGTGATGTTTTTCTAAAAAATAAAATGGACGTCAACTCTCGAAAAATCTCGTTTAAATTACATAACTTGTGTTTTTTCTTATTTAGACCATGGACTGAAAAAATCTGTCAAAAAGTTGCTATCTTACATACAAAAGCATTTTAGCCGGGCAAAATTTCATGTAGCTAGGTCAAATATCAAAATTTTAATTCCACATATAGTTATATAATTATAATTCAAGCTATTAAAGGTCCAACTGATTTTTTGTTAAGTGCAGTAATTATATTCACAGATAAGTCAGGGAGGGGATTTTAACATAGTCCAAGTAACCAATTTTGTTCATATTTTTATTGTTTACTTTAAAGATTATCTTGGGGGAGAAGTTTGAGGTTCTGTCTATAGTGTGTAATTCCCAGTATTACACACTATATTAATGACTTCCATGGTAATAAATGGAAGCTATAATTGGATAGAGTGTAACGTTATATTGTGAAATGGAGTACCTTCCCTTTAACTGTATGGCTTGTTAATGTAAAGTAACCTTAAATGCATTTAATTAAATTTCTAAAATTTAAGTACTAATTGTGTTGTAATTTCAATAATGTGCTTGTGCGTATGGGTCTTTAGCAGTTGGAGGACCCGGTGAAAACCCACAAGGTTGGACAGGCGAGCCTACTCCTTGTCATGTACAACCAGGAAATCGAAACCACACCAGTTGACTCAATGACATTCGGCCATCCAACCCCCCCACTGTATCAAATGATAAACTCTGCCTCCACATATAAATCCACACAATGTATAATATTGCTGGGTTGTTTGCTTGGGGCTTTTTATACGCCCACATGGAAATGTGGACGTATATTGTTGTTGCCCCCGTCCGTTCATTGATCCGCCGTACACAATTTCTTGTGAACACTCTACAGACTACATTTATAAGCTGATTGTTTTGAAATTGACATATGTTGTTTACAGTGAGATGAAGAAGTCTATTTAATTTCAATAATTTCTGTTAATTTTTTCTGGAGTTATGGCCCTTGTTTTATTTTATTGCACCTTGTGAATGCTCTAATGACAGAAATTATCAACCGATCTGTATGAAATTTATGTGCAACCTTTAAATTAGTGAAACGAAGCCTATTGAATTTCAGCAATTCCCATTAATTACGTCTAGAGTTATGTTCCATGTTTCACTTTGTCGAACCCTGTGAATGCTCTAACAACAAAAGTTATCATCCGACCTGTATGAAATTTATATGCATTATTAAACTTTGCGAAAGGAAGAAGTCTATTGAATTTCAGCAATTTCCAATAATTCTTGAGTTATGGGTCTTGTTTTACTTTGTTGAACAATGTGAATGCTCGAGCAATAAGTCATAATCTAATCTAAATGAAAATTTAAATGCATTATTTAAATTAGTAAAACGAAAAACACTGTTGAATTTCAACAGTTTTTGTTACTTCCAGAGTAAAGGCCTTTTTTAAAGTTTGTAGCACCTTGTGAACCCTCAAAGGATGAAAATTATAATCTGATCTGTAAATGCCCCCCATACCTACAAAAGATTAAATATGCGACAACCCTTGTTGACCTCTTGGACGATTTAGCTGCTGTGGGTGTATGTTTCATTGCCTGGCAACCCATCTTTTTAGTAAAATAGTCCTGGAATATTAATCTTAAAAATTATTGTCTGAATTTGACTGCTAAAAAAAAAAGGTGGTGCATGTTAACCCAGGATTTGAAATTTTACATATCTAGATAAAACTATGCCTTACCCAAGGATTTGAAAATTATGATTTAATCCTAAATTATAGACCTAGACCTATACTTTGTAATTAAGTCAGCACTTAAGAATTTATGTGCAAAATGATGCCCTTGTTGTGCCACTACAGTGACTACACCTCTCTTAAAAAATTAAATGATGATGAAAAGGTTAATGGCAAGATAATTTTCTAGTTTGCATTGTGTGATGCGTTTTGGTTTCAATATGTTATACTGAAACACACTGCCTGCATGGTGTAGACTGTAGACCCATCTTCATTAGCCCAGTTGGTGCCGAAAAGCATGATGTTTTTAAACCTCATTTCACTAATTCCTACAGTGAAAAACTTTGTGTAGTGCCTATATATTATTAATAAATGTTCCACGCATGCTAATATATTTGGTGAAAAACTGGTTGTAATATTACCAAATGGTCAACGCTTTTGCATTATTACACTTACATGCTTACAGAATCCTTTCGCCTCCCCATGCGTGTCGATTTATATTAAAGATACATTATGTAAGATTTAGATAAAGAGTTGTCCGTTCTTGCTATAATAGTTCAAAATTAGATCCCGGTAATGAAAATTTTATCTACTGAAAATTTCAGTCAAATTACTTTATTCTGAGCAAATTTATGAGTGTTAATTAAAGTTCTGACAAGTATGCCCCATTGTCAAGTACCATTGCTACGATAATAATCAAAATCTTGATTATCCATTTTAATGTTATTCATTAAATATTTAGGTCTAGAAACCATTAGTTGATTTGATGGGCATGCGATGTGAATAAATGTCTTTATCACCCAATAATACATTCTACAGTAGATATCGCTTGTTTGATATATTTCATAATCTACTGCAATATCTCCTTAGGAGATATCGCTTTACGTGAATTTGATTGGTCAGTTGAAAAGGAACTCCTTTTTTTACGCCCACATTGAAATGTGGTCTCATATTGTCGTCGCCCCCGTCCGTCCGTCGGTGTTTAAGGTCATGAGACGAAGAAGCCTATTGATTTTCAGCGATTTCCGATAATTACTGCCAAAGTTATGGCCCTTGATCACTTCAAAAAATCTTGGTGACGCTCTAAAGGCCAAAGTTAATATCTGATTGACTTTAAATTTATACACAGTGTTTACGGTCATGAGACGAAGAAGCCTATTGATTTTCGGCGATTTCTG